AAGAGAAAGCCCTTTGTTCTGTTTAGGGGAGGAAAAGTACAAGCACAGCTTTATCTATTTGGGTACTTATTTACTTAGAGACAAGGTGTGGATCTACCACTCAGGCTGGAGTGCAGTGGTGCAATCTTGGCTCACTGCAACCTCCATAGCCTCCCGAGTAGCTGGGACTACAGGCACACGCCACTACGCCTGCCTAATTTTTGTAAAGACGGGATTTCACCATGTTGCCCAGGCTGGTCTCAAACTCATGAGCTCAAGTAACCCGCCAGCCTTGGCCTCCTAAAGTGCTGGGATTACAGGCGTGAGGCACTGCATGTAGCCATAGGTTTCTACACATGCTAGTTAAGAAAAGGCGTAAGCGTGCCAACAGTGATTTGCGAACTGCTAACTTAGTGGAAAGTGTAAAGGGAAAAGCTGAGTAGCAACCACACAAGGTGCGCCCGATATGAGTTGATGAGAATCATGCTTTATCTCTGTGGTTCCCAAACCCATAATCCAGTCTATCATGAGAAAAACACCAAATTTCAACAGAGGGATATTCTACAAAATACCTGACTAATACTCCTTAAAACTGCCAAAGCCCTCAAGCCTGTAATCGCAGCACTTTGGGAGGCCGAGGCAGGCAAATCACTTGAGCTCAGGAGTTTGAGACCAGCCTAGGCAATATGGAGACACTCCATCTCAACTAAAAATACAAAAGGTAGCCAGGTGTGGTGGCAGGCACCTCTAATCCTAGCTACCTGGGGGGCTGAGGCAGGAGAATCACTTGAACCTGGGAGGCAGAGGCTACAGTGAGCCGAGATCAGGCTGCTGTACTCTAGCCTGGGTGACGGGAGAACCTATCTCAAAAAAAAAAACCCAAAAGACAAAAAACAAACAAACACACACACACCTGCCAAGGTCATCAAAAACAGAAAATCTGAGAAACAGGAGTCTGTTAATTTACCAAGAGGAGCTGAAGGAGATATGACAAGTAAATGTAATGTCATGTGCTGGATGGATCCTGGAACACAAATAAGACGTTAGGAGAAAACTAAGGAAACAGAACTAAGTATGTGCTTTGGTTAATAACGTTATCAGTACTGGTTCACTAATTATGACAAATGTACCAAACTAATGCAAGATGCTAATTATGGGAACCATTGTAAGGGGTGTGGAGTATAGGGGAACTCTGTACTGTCTTGAAATTTTTCTGTAAATCATAATCTAAGTTTTTTTTTAAAAAAAAGATGAGTGGTAAACATTGGTTTGTCTTCAAACATTAATTACAACAGACATAACAGAATTATTAATACTGTCTCAGCTGGATGAACTGAGCTCAGGTATACCCTAATACAGTTTCAGCGACCTTAAGAGGAAAAGGGAAAAACAAGCTGTTTCTCTTTCCCAATTCCCATGTCAAAATATATTAAGTGTCTGAGAACTTCTTTGGAAGAAGTCCACATCTCCATTTCTAGTAAGAAGTTTCTAGACTAATATTCAAGCCAAGTGTTGCTGGGGATTCTGCTGAAGTAGATCTCTGTGTCTTAAGTCAGTCCCTCGATGAAACTTTTGCTTTCAGACTTTCAGCACCTGCTTTACACTTTACAGTTAGCAAACTGTTAGTTGAAATAACATTGTAGTATTGAATCATTTACAAATGTTTATTAAATGTCAGTAAATTTTACAAAGCAAATATTAATAGCAAGAGGCAAATGTTTTGCAAAATATGTACAAAAGGAAAAGCTGTAATGAACTAGCAACTCATTTTATAAAATCAAACCGTTCTTTCCACTTTTAGACCTCCTTTAAAAATAATTTATTACCCATCCTGAACTAAAGCACTGACAAAATTTACAATTATCAGATAATGTGCTTAGTTCCTGGAAAGTTATAAAAAGACATATGTAAAAAAAAAAAAAAACAAAAAAACTCTAAGCCACAAAAATATTTTATACAGAGCTAATACAAATCATGTTTGTTAGGTACAGTATTTATGAGGTTGTTACAAAATGTATTTTATAAGGCTTCTTGTGGTAGATGAGCTCTCACCAGAGCAGAGTAGTACAGAAAAGCCATTTCAAACGTTTTGCAATTCTGCCTTAAAGTAAGAGGTAAAAGGTAAATGACATAGTTTGTTCCACTGTTGCATATACTTTGCAAGAATTAATATCTACCCTTTTCTTTCCTAGTACCACCAAATAGGCATGATTAAGGACAAATGTATCACTATGGCAAGAAACGTCACAAACTTTCTTAATACAAACCAAAATCACATACCAAGTACTGTATGACTTTCAGTGATATTCACTGATTGAAAATTTGTGCATAGGGAGTTCCAGCATACTCTGATCCATCTGTAAACTTTCATCATTAACAGCAGATTTGTATAGGTCACAAAAATTTCCTTATCAACCCATGAAATATTGCCATTATCATTCATGCTTTCAAAACAATGTTTCATATAAGCTCTTGCATTTGAAACCAGATGGTTAGACCTGAATGCCACAAGAGTGAACATAACTTAAATGCTAACTATACATTCAAGTACAGACATAAGAATGCTAGTAGTACAAACACTGTACTTCAAATGATATTGTTAATCACCTACCAGCCTAAGGCTAACATCTACTTGATGGAACTTGCAAAAGCCATAAAGTCCAACTTGTTTAAAATGTTCAGGCTTAGACTTATACTTCAGACTCTAGTATACATTTATTAAGCCCTAACCTCGTACCATAAAAAAATGGGCATGTGCTATATTTGGGACGTGCAGACACACCCACACCTACCCATAATCTCTCCCCTCCTGTTTACTAGACTGAAAAGCCACCCTGTATCCTATCATTAAAAAAAAAAAAAAAAAAAAAAAAAAAAAAAAATCAGTGCTTTTAGTCAAGCAGCACAACACAAGGACAGATCATCTGTGATTAACGTAAGTGAACACCTTAAAATGATGGGAGACAGACAAAGTAACTAGATCCTAAGTCAGATTTCCAAGTGAAAAAGACATGAGCAAAACTTCTGGTTTTGATTCCTCAAATAAAACTAAAATAAATGAAATGGTAACAGAGTGACTTTCTCTAAATTTATTAGGGAGTTTGTTACAAATGTTTGGGCTTTACAGGCATGATTTCATGGATTCAAACAAGAAATTAACACTGATCGTTAGCCTTCTCATGACATACACAGAAATAACATTGCTACAAATTGCAACAGAGAGAATCTTGTTTTAAATGGCTTGGTTTGGGGTTTTGCCTAAATGTATCATTATATAATGAAAGCACCACTTTGAGGGTTTCTCAAATAGTGATTTGAATTTCAGGACATAACAGCGTAACATGGTAACTTTATTCTTCATATATAAATAAGGCATAACCGGATGTGTATTAATGTGGAAAATACATTTTATCAAAAGCATAAATACAAGTATTTGGGTACACACTGAAAGTTAAGATTTATCTATTTCTTCTTACAAAAAATGATATGGACATATGATATCTGTTGAATCTAAATCAGTACTTCTAATCATTTCTAGTATTAAGGTGATCTTATCTCCTTCTACTTTAAACCAGCTGCCACCAACTTAATAAGGATTTCTCTAAACAGCCTCAATTTGAGAGATTAACCAGAGGACCCTCTCTATGTAAAGTACATGCCAATATACCTTAAAAGAAAATAAGACAAAAGTGAATGATCTTTTTCATTCCACATTGCTTTCTTTGGTTGCAGCGCCAAGCCAGTGCCCTTTCCAGATAATAAAACTAAAATGAAGATTTCAATTTAGTATCTGGCAGACAGCAACAATCCAGGTTATTAAAAATATTAAAGTGGCAGAGGCACACTTTGAATTATTCAGATTTTCAGAAAACATTTGACAAAACCCTTTCTCTATAAAAGTTATAGCCTAAATTTATGTTGTTGTTTTGTAAGGCAACTGTGTATATGATACATTTCTTCAAGGTCAATGAAGACACTTGTGTGATATTTCTTCAGAATTAAATGAGAAGGCATTCAGATTTAAGAACAGAATGTAATACAGGATTAGGCACATTTTATTCCAAATCATAATCATAAAGATTTAGAAAATCAAATACATCAAAGAACTTTAAATTACGTTTTTAGAGACTGGGGTAAGTTGGCATAGTGAAAATTATGAGCACCTTTTCAATTCTGTTCACTAAATTTCATCTCTCTCTTCATAAAGTGGTATTTCAAAAGGATTCAGTTTTCATGATACAGGTATAAGACTCCTTTCAAATGGTTTAAAAATACAACACATTAAAAAAAATGTGGACTAAAGCCTTTAGATTGAACTTAAAGTTCTATTGAATGTCAAAACAAGCCTAAGTTGAATGTAAGTAATTCATTGCCTCAAAATTGATTCTAAAATTTAAAAGAATGTTGATTCTGAGACATCACATGCAGCAGGGAAGAAAATTGCAAATGCCCAAAATAACACGCTATCTATTGGGTGTTTTAACACTTCCTAGTGGTAAGTCAAAATGGGGAAACTTCGTGATTTCTGGTTTGTCAGGCAGTATCTACGGTTCGTATCACAGATCTTAACTATTACTTAAATAACATGAAGTGTCCTCTTTCTATAGGGATCTAGCTTGAGTCCTCATTGGAGTTAAATGTTTTGGCCATTCAATAAAACTATCTGCAAAATGTATGGCTCAATTCTCCACCAAACAGGCGAAATGTTACTGTGCACATTCAGATATTCATTAGCACTGCGATTATGCTAACTTTGTGAATTTAAACAATGTATTCTTTTTGGTAAGAGGCACTAGATGTAGAACTAATCAAACAGGCATGAATGATACCATGAACACCTGCATCACGATGCCGGGCTAGGTGGCATGAAAATGCTGGAAGTTACATGGATATAAGGACAGTAGAAGTTCCAATGGGAGAAAAGTCAGGTATGTCGGCCGGGCATGGTGGCTCACGCCTGTAATCCCAGCACGTTGGGAGGCTGAGGCAGATGGATGGCTTGAGGTCAGGAGTTCAAGACCAGCCTGGCTAACATGGTGAAACCATGCCTCTACTAAAAAACATATGAAAAGTCAGGTATGTCAAGAACAATCCCTGGTTAGTTCACAGAAAAGCCCCACTCTTGTATCAGACAGCAAGACAGAATGACAGCCCCTGACTTGGAAAGACTGGGCGATTCGCAATGACCAGTCCTTCAAAGACCAATAAAATACCTGAGTGCACAGCCAGCTATACAGCAACATGACAGATATCACAGTCTTAAAATTTTCAGGAAAAGAAGAAAAGCTGTCAGACTTTTCTAACTGCCACCAGCCTTGGACTTTTGTTTCTCTGATCTAATTTTAACACTACATACAACCTACAAGATAGTATTTCAGTACTGCAAATCAGCCACTCTGATGAGTTCACTATGAATGCATCTGCAATCACAAAGCTACTTCATGGACACATTTTAATTTGGTAAGCAATGGGGGGAGGTCAATGTAATCATGTTTAGGTGCGAACTAAAAAAAATTACTACTTATCCTTAGAAGCATCCTAAAACATTTAAAATATACCTCAAAAAAGCTGGACTTCCATAAACAATTACACAAATGTATACATACTGTATCTTTTAGAGACACACCAAGAATGAACAGGAATCTCAAATAATGCCTTCTTGAATACTATGACAGAAAAATACTGCCCTTGGTAAGCTCCAAACAAACAATCCCATAAATGCTACAGTCTGTAGTTGATGGGAATGGAGAGGACAGCAAAAGATAGATGCTTGTGATGTTACAACAATGATTCCTTCAGTAAGGACTGGTCTTTACTGCCCAACTGAGACAGGGCTTAAAAGTCAAACACCTAACATTCCGCAACAGGTTGTTTATTTAGAAAGTTCTGCTACCAAGTCACTTGCAGTTTTTAGTTGCTGCTATGGCCACAATGTTTCACCTACAGTACATTAAACTACATAATAATTAAACACGAGAAAGGCAAATTCTACTTCACTCATTACGTTTCACCGAAACACTGTAAATAGCATTTGCTTGTCTTTTGCTCTCCCGCCGTACCACCTGTGAACTCTTCATCAGCATCAGACCGAAGATCCTTATGTAAACTTGAAAACACTAAGAGCATTACCCTCAGAAACACAGACATTTAAAAGCAAAACAGCTGCTGTGTATACAAGCAATTAAAATATGAAGGCTAAACCTTCTATAAATCTACAGAATGCCATTTCTTAGACCAAACTTTCTTCTAACAGCCCTTTCAAAATAGGAGGTCACCATTAAGCTAGGCAGCAAGTGTCACTGCTATGTGTAAGGCAGACAAGATATCTTACTTGTTTTGGAACCCAATATTCCTAACCTCATCCCTACAAGTGAAGACACCTTCTCTACTTGGCACTGCAGGGGAATTCAGTTTGAAAAGCAGAATTTAAAGCTTGAAATATGCCTAGTCTGAGGTCAGGTGGGAAGTTTTAGCTGGACTTGAATAGAGGCCATAGTGAAACGGATCAAAGCCTGCATTACAGCAAATCTTGGCAATGTGTCACTCAACAGCTTTCAGCCACAAACCCAAGACTGCAGAAAAAGTACTAAGATTTTCAAGAAGTTAAACACAGAATCAAGATTGTTCTAATTCTGGTTGTAAACTGCTATTTTAAAAAACAGAACACAGAAAACAATCAAAAACACAAAAAGATATTAAAACAACAAGTCTTTTGTACATCACTGTAGCATAAGCTGCTTGAGGTTGTCATGCAGAATAGTATCCTTCACGTCACGGAAAACAAGGCGGATGTTCTCTGTGTTGATAGCAGTGGTGAAGTGGTGGTACAGGGGCTTCTGCTGCTGGTCCCGGCGTTTATTCCGGAAACATTCCACTAGAAATTTTTGGACGTCTCTTAAGCAGTGGGGATCCCCTTCAAATTCTAGGAAATAGTCCTTGATGCTCACAATTTGCACCTTCTCCTCAAGCAAGTCTGTCTTGTTTAAGAACAGAATTATGGAGACATTGCTGAAAACCCGGTTATTGACGATTGTTTCAAAAATGTTCAGAGACTCTGTAAGGCGATTGGTCAGTCGATCTTCCATAAGCACCTGGTCAAATTCACTTGAGGAAACAAGGAAAAGTATTGATGTCACACTGTCGAAACATTCAAACCAACGTTTCCTTTCTGATCTCTGACCACCTACATCAACCATTTTGAAAGGAACATTTTTTATTTCAAAGTCATACTCATGAATGCCTTTGGTGGGTCTTCTGGCAAGCAGAATATCTTGTTGTGATGGAATATAATCCTGGAAAGGAAATAAATGGTTTTATACTTAACAATTCAGAAGTAATTAGAATTTTCAATGGACTACTAACTGGACTAGTGAATAGATATGCAAACAAAATGATCTTTTAAATTACATTTTCAGATATATTATTCTTATTATAAAATGCCAAGACTGGTCAGACATGGTGGCTCACGCTGAGACAGGAGGACTGCTTGAAGCCAGGGGTCTGAGAGTATCCTGGGAAACACAGTCAAAACCCCATTTCTGCTCCCCGCAAAAAAGCCAAGACACATTAAAATGTTAGCAGGACAGGTTCAAAATGTACTACAAATGGCCGGAATCTACTTGTTTTCATCCCTGCAACACTACTCAAAGTTTAGGCTGAAATCTTATCAACTGTTCTCACCCACCTTCACTGCTATGTATCTACCTGCAATTTTACTCCCCACTATCAGCCACTCTTTGTTCTAGCCAGAGTGATCTTCCTGTCTGCAAATTTACCTTCTTCACGCTGCTCCTTGCTCCTCTATTAAAAGCAATGGGATCTGAATCCAATGCCAATTACAAAGATCACTTCCCGGTTCCAAGTTCTGTCCACCTCTCTCTAACCTATTCTAAATGTTCTTTTACTGTGCTACCCCACTCATGACTTAGAATGTCCATGTTTTCAATGCTGCTATACTATGTGTGTGAAAAACACGGTCTCTACTATAATTAACTATGTTACAGCTTTCTTCCTTATTGACCCCAAAACTCAAACTAGTCACTTACTCTGAGTGTCAGCATCTCTGTGAAATGGAGGTGATTACATTGGCCTGTCTGCCTGAGAGGGAGGGCTGTTGCAAGGATCAAGTGAGCTCTTCTCTGCACTCTTGGTCAGTGAACTACAAGACCCTGAACAAACAGAAGCTGCTGGTCGCACAAGTCACTAGCTACTCTATGATGGCACACTTTCTTATGCAATGCAACTGGTTCTTCCTTCTCAGTGTCGCATTTCTTCCAAAACTACAACACAGTTTTCTGGTAATACATGAACAGGACAGCTAATATAGATCATCAAGGTAAAAATATTTTAAAAATCAAGGCAGAATTTAAAACAATGCTGTTATTCACAATGCTGCATTTTATGCCTTTCTGAATAGTGTAATGATTTTGAAATTTCATTACAAGAATACTCATTGTCTCAAAATGGTATAATAGAAGAATGTGTGTGTGTGTGTGTGTGTGTGTGTGTGTATGTATATATATATACAGGTGCATGCCACCACAAACACACACACACACACACACACACACACGCACACAGTTTTTGAGATGCAGTCTTGCTCTGTTGCCCAGGCTCAAGTGCAGTGGCACAATCTTAGCTCCTGGGTTCAAGCGATTCTCCTGCCTCAGCATCCCGAGTAGCTGGGACTACGGGCATGCACCACCACACCTGGCTAATTTTTTTGTATTTTTAGTAGAGACGGGGTGTTGCCATGCTGGCCAGGCTGGTCTCTGACCTCAAGTGATCCGCCGCTTCGGCTTCCCCAAGTGCTGGGATTACAGGCATGAGCCACTGCACCCAGCTGGAATTAAGAATTTTTAAAAAGTAAGCAGGTTCTTAGTTACTGGCAACCAACAGCTAGTCATTAAATAACTCTAGGACTCAAGTGTTAGCTTTTTCATGTTTTCTTCTAGCTTTTGTTCACACGCATGCCTACTTTACTTATAATCAGCATATGGACACAATATTCAGCCTACCTCTATGTTTTTGCTTAATGTTTTATTGTGAACTGTTCCATATGCTGATGCAGTCATGCCTTATTTTAAAAGACAATAAAATATACCCAATGCATTAACGTGCTATACTTTACGTTAACATTCCCTTACTAGTGGTCATTAAAGTTGTTTCCAATTTTTTGCCATAATTAACAGAAATACTGCAATTAAAATTCTCATGCACGTATTTTTTTTCTTTTGGATTATTTCCAAAGATTAAAATAATCAAGGATAAGATTATGAGGTTAAAGGTTACAAACATTTTAATGACTGTGGATACTTAATGTCCAACTGCTTTCTAGAAGGCAATACCAATTTACAGCATACACCTATGCCAGCCCCTTCAGAAACGCACCAGCACTGAACCTTTAAAAAATATAATTCCAGGGCTGGGCACAGTGGCTCCTACCTGTAATCCCAGTACTTTGGGAGGCAGAGGTACCAGCCTGGCCGATATGGTGAAACCCCATCTCCACTAAAAACACAAAAATTAGCCAGGTGTGGTGGCATGTACCTGTAGTCCCAGCTACTCAGGAGGCTGAAGAATCACTTGAACCCGGGAGGCGGAGACTGCAGTGAGCTGAGACAGTGCCACTGTACTCCAGCCTGGGCAACAGAGCAAGACTCCTTCTCAAAAAAAAAAAAAAAAGAAAAAAGAAAAAGAAAAAAGTAATTTCATAAAAATGAGAAGTTCTCTATCTATTATTGTCTCTATTAAAGCTAACAATCTAGGTAGGAACCTAAAGCTCTAAAGACTGCTTCACATGAAGCACAGAGCTTCAGGTAATTAAGTGTTAAACAGTCTGGCAGAGTAGAGTATGTTGATGAGGACACACACATACTAGCTGTGTGACACTGGGCAGGTCATTTAACCTCTCTGTGTCATAATTTCCTCATTTGTAAAGCAGAGGTAACATTTATAGGGTTGCTGTGACGACTAAATGAGAAAGGTTTAAAAGGCCAGGCATAGTGGCTCATGCCTGTGATCCCAGTATTTTGGGAGGCCGGGGTGAGTGGATCACCTGAGCTCAGGAGTTTGAGACCAGCCTAGGCGACATGGTAAAACCCCATCTCTATAAAAAATACAAAAATTAGCCAGGTGCAGTGGCATCCACCTGTAGTTCCAGCTACTCAGGAGGCTGAGACAGGTGAATCACTTGAGCCTGGAAGGCAGAGGTTGCAGTGAGCTGAGACTGTGCCACTGCACTCCAGCCTGGGTGAGAGAGCAAGACCCTATCACAAAAAAAAAAAAAAAAAAAAAAAAAAAAAAAAAGTTTTAGTGAAGTACATAAGAACTGTGTTTGGCACACAGGTGATGTGTCAGCTTTTAAGATGTCTACCATGGTGACCACTGATGGCCAACACTGCCACTGCTGGGGGGCGGGCAATCAAAGAAGGCTAAAACAGCCAGACACACTTCCATTCCAATCTCTCATTCGTAAATGTTCACCAGTTATTTGCACCTGACAGTCTATTCAAAATCCAACACAACAAGCTCAGTAAGAAAACGCATTTTTTTCCCTACTGGCTCCTCTACTCCAGGTCTCCTAGTGCACGCTCCTTTCTATTTCCTGCACCCAGCAGTCCCCGCTTCTTAGTCTCCCTTCCCCATGGCCTCTTCTCTATCATCGGTTTTGTACCAAATCCTGTTGCTCTTTCTTTGAATATTTCTGACATGTTCTCTTTCCTCCTATTCCCACTGCTCCCACTTTCTTCTCATCTCAGGCATGGCTGCCATCTCCTTACTAGTTTTCCGACCTCGGATGTCTCACACCTCAAGTCCGTGTCTAAGCCACTGTATGTTTCTGTAGAATAACCATCCTGCATCAGGACTCCAGAACTCAGTGGGCTGACTGCGCCACCGCACTCCAGCCTGGTGACGGGTCCCTCCCTGCATCAAGTCTAAACTGCTGATGGGCCTCCGGGGCCCTCCTTACACCTTGTTGTTTGGAATTAGCGGGCTCTGCTCGGCATTGTTCCAGCTCACCAGAGTGCCTACCAAAACCTGCAGAAAGCTTCACATCTGAACATCATTACATGTTTGTTCATTTGCACAATAGTGCAGATACGATAAACAATGCCTACTGCCTTCTAAAAGTCTGTTTTCACAAGTCAGAGCTAAAAATTTCGCATACCCTTCTATCAGAGAGATGTGCCTCCTAGAACCAAGCACATCCAGCTGTCTCCCATATCAGTGGGCCACATCATGTCGTTATGTATCTAAAAGCAACCCATCCTTCAGGCAGTTCGGGTTCACTTACTCTTATAGCCTAGCTCCAACTTTTTCAGCCAATATATCTCTCTCCAGTTCATAAACTGATTTATCTTTGTGATCAGTATCATTTCATTGTCCTCTACTTGTTTTACATATGTTAGTTCTGTCTCTCTGAGTAGACTGAGCTCCTTAAATGCAGAGATCAAAGAACAGCTAACGTTGAGCATTTACTATATTCCTTCACCTTCAGGGGTTATTTTTTATGTGACTGTCCCATAACACTGGGAGCTCAGTTCTCTTACTCTGCTATTATGCCCAGTTATGAACGAAAACTACAGTTTAGAGATGACTGACGTCATAAAGAGCCAGTCAGTGATGGAGCTGGGATGGGAAGCTAGGCAGTCTGGCTGCAGAGCCCATGTCCTTGACCTTTGTGCTGTTCCACCTACCGGAGGGGAACAGGGCTCAGCACAGCAGGGTATCGATGGCCTTAGTACTTCAGTAAGAAATAAACCAGCAAGCAGAATTCTGTGACCTGTTCCATATGCACAAAATGACTGACAAAATGCAGTGCTGCTCAGGTGTAGTCTCCCTGCTCCTTTACCACTTCAGGCTGAACACAGCACTTTTTCTTCTTATTCCAGATGTGGCCTCAAAATTGTTCTCAACATAAGATCCTAAGCAGCTACAACAAATTGAATGGAGTTAGCCCAGAGTCATTCATTCAACTATTTGTTGAGTGCTTACTTCGTGCCAGGCATTGTCACTGGGCATCAGGAACCCTCAACTCCTCATAATCCAGAGATGAGGTCCTTGTACTTAAGGAAACAGGTGGGTGAAAACAAAGATAAAATAATTATCAAAGGACATGTGCGACGGAGGAGAAAAGCAGGAGCAGATGCTGCGCGCGGAAACTACTTTGGTGTGTGGTGTGCGCAGGAAGCCCTGCCTGAAAGGTAACCTGAGGGGAGCAGGTCAAGTCAGCACTGTCTGAATTAGAAAACAAGAAATAACTCTTACAAAACTAGTTTATTTGCTAACGTTCCTTTTTACTTGACTTTTTTAAGTTTTACAATCTGGCCAGATGGTAAAATGTTAGTAAAATAGATCTTAATACAAAGTTTCACTGATGTAGACTGAATTAGTAAAAACAAACTATGGAGACTTTCTCAACATGTGGGGTCACCTGTCGAGCAAATAGGCAGGAGAAATATACTGGACTGAAGGCAGACAAATGCAATTCAGAAAAATACAGGGAAAATGTAAAAATCACTCTGCTAGGATAAAAAGGAGGCACCTTTTCACGTGTCCTGGATACATTAGTATGCTATTTTCCTACTTGCAACAGGTTCATTTTGTGCTTTCCTTCAGTTATATTTTTAAAGATGAAAACCTCAAAGTACCCATACGGCCTTATTACAATTTGTAACATAAATTTGCTTTTACATAAGCAGAAAATGTATGAAAGAAAGAAAAGGAAAGGAAGAAAAGAAAAGAATGAAAAGTTTGCCTTATGAGGAGGCAAACAAAGATGCGCTACATTTAGAGAGTAACAAACGACTCTAAGGCAGTGGCTTTCAAAATTTTTCTAAGCAGCAGAAACCTTTCTCCCAGTAAACTCTCCTGTGTACGTCCAAAACAGAGGTCAAACAAGTGGAGCTGCTCTGCCTGCAGCGGGCCCCGCTGGCCACAGCGCCAGCTTAGAGCTGCTGGCTCCAAGGAATAACTACAGGAAAATAATAAACTCTCTTTTCAAGGGCAACTCCTCGTAACTCAACACAAAGGGGCATGAACTCAAAAATGTTGTCTGTCAAAAGATTTGGAAATCAGTCAACCCACTGTGTCCTATTTCTGTTTACAAACAAAAACCCCCAAAGACGCTAAGGTATAATAGATAATGTGCAATATCATTTTCGAACATAAACTTCTTTTTTAAACAGTTTTATTTTCAAGAAATAGCAGATAAAACGTTCCTCAAGAAAATGGTGACGATCTGGACAGTTAGAGGGAGAAAAAAAGAAGTGCCATGATTAAACAATAAAAATATTATTTTCATTTTGAAAAAATAAAAATCATTCAATATTTTTAGCTACCAATCACTCTAAATAAAGCAAGAAAGAATCAGAATGACACCACTAAAAAAAAGGAAAAGAAAAGAAAAAGAAAGAAAGAAAGAAGCCAATAGCTTAATACATAATTTTTCTCAATTTCCTAACGTTGGTATCCTGACTTCTGCTTTCAAATGGCACTAAACATAAACATCAGTTTAAACACTTACTGGTTCTCCAAGTTTATCCAAGTTATCCAGGAAATATTTTACAGATTCACCCTAAAAACAAGGAGAAAGCAAATAGTTATTAGGGCTTAGAAACAGAAGATCTTGTTACAACAGTCTGTATTATACTGTCTGGTTGTACACTTAACCCAAACTTTGTACACTTAACCTAAACTTTATTTAGTCACCAATTTCAGAGAGCTAACCTTCCTAAAAACATGTAAAATGTCTGCTCTGTCACAGAATGCTACATCTGCAAAGGCAGGTTGAGTTCACAAATGCTGTAATCAGTATCCCAAGTGCTCATCTATTTGGACAGAATTACATGCGTGCTTTTGCTGTAACTACGCATCCATAGCAAAGACGTAATTAGAAGATGAAAACTGTTTTTGAGATAAAACATATATCTACAACTAAAATTTAATTGACAGTCTTTTTGCCTACATTTTCTAGCTTGAGTTCATAGTGATGGTAGTTATCTTCAGAGACAAACCAAACCAGAGATGAGGTGAGACTACTGTACAAAATCCTCCAGTAACAGGCATGAACCTGGACAGACGTGCCTTGCTCAGCAAGATCCTGGACAGTGCCGCAGGCTTCACATCTCCAATAGGTCCTTTTCCAAGTGGCTTATCCTTTCTGAGCCCAGATTTCTCTACTAAACCTCCAAGCAATTTCAGACATCTAAACTGTATGAGACTACATTCCTAAGGTGAAAACGCTTGGCCAGAGGACACACAGAAGAGCAGAACTATTTTGGGAAAGAAGGGCTCTGTGTCTGAGTCTCCCAGTCCTCACTCCCTGCATTTCACTTTCCCTCGGGATTCCACAGCTGCAGCACTGCCCCTGCCTGAAGCTTCTTTCAAGTGTTCCTGAAAGCAGCACCTCATTTAGTATACATGGGAATCACATGAAGATCTCCTTACACTGCAGGCTCCGGTTTCGTAGGTCTGGGTGGGACCCCAGTCTCTGCAATTCAGGGAGTGCCTGGGACCACACTTTGAGACACAAAGCTTGAAAAAAGCAGTTCTGTAATTTTTTGGTCTCAAGATCCCTTTATATGTCTTAAGATTCTTGAGGATCCCACCATATGATCCAGCAATTGCACTGCTAGGTATATGCCCGAAAAGAAAGGAAATCCGTACATCAAGGAGAGAGATATCTGCACTCCTATGTTTACTGTAGCGCTATTCGCAACAGCCAAGATTTGGAAGCAATCCAACTGTCCATCCAAAGATGAATGGATAAAGAAAATGTGGTACATATACACAATGGAGTACTATACAGCTATAAAAAAAGAGATTCGATAATTTGCAACAACAGGCATGGAACTGTAGGTCATTATGTTAAGTGACATAAAAACAGGCATGGAAATATTGCATGTTCTCACTTATTTGTGGGAGCTAAAAATCAAAACAATTGGGCCGAGTGCGGTGGCTCATGCCTGTTAATCCCAGCATTTTGGGAGGCCAAGGTGGGTGGATCACGTGAGCTCAAGAGTTAGAGAGTAGAAGGATGGTTACAAAAGGGTGAGAAGGGCAGCAGAGGTTAGGGTGGCAGGAGGTGGGGGCGGCTAATAGGCACAAAAGATAGTTAAAGTAAATGAATATGGCCCAGTATTTGATAGCACCAGAGGGTGACTATAGTCACTAATAATTTCAGTGTACATTTAGAAATAACTAAAAGAGTATAACTGGATTGTCTTTAACACAAAAGATAAATGCTTGAAAGGACAGATATCCTATGTTCCATGTTGTGATTATTATGTGTTGCAAGCCTATATCAAAACAGCTTATGTGTGCCAGAAATATATGAATCTATTATGTACCCACAAAAATTAAAAACGGAAAAATTTTTTCTTAAATGGAGGACATGAAAACAAATGATGATGGACTCAGTAAGCTCAACAGCTTCTGATCACTTCTTTTTATCGTGTTTTGGGTCCTCACTCAAATTTTATACAAAGCTCACTACTAGACAACTGGTACTACTCTTTCTTACCTAACTCTCCTCTTACCTTACAAAAGTGTCTGGCAGACGAAATATGCACTACTGGGAGAAAGTTACTCTTCAATATTTTTTTCCTAAAAATTTCAGAAGTGATCAAAGTCTTCTCTCTTTTTTTTTTTTTTAGATGGAGTCTCACACTGTCGCTTGGACTGGGGTGCAGTGGTGCAACCTCCGCCTCCTGAGTAGCTGGGACTACAAGTGCGCACCACCATGCCCAGCTAACTTTTTGTATTTTTAGTAGAGACAGAGTTTCACCATGTTGGCCAGGCTGGTATCGAACTCCTGACCTCATGATCTGCCCGCCTCAGCTTCCCAAAGTACTGGGATTACAGTGGTGAGCCATCGCGCCTTCCCAGTCTTCTTGTTTTCTATTAGTGTTAAGGAAAAGATGTGAATTTCAGCCCTTTTTCTAACAAGGAGTGATCTGGCCAAGTCTCTAAACTCTTCCAGGCCTCGATTTCCCCCAGAGTTACATGAAGAAGTTCAGTGGTTCAATGGATAGCCAACCACCCAAGTTCTGACCTATACAACAGTTTTAGTTAGTTCAAGTGATTTAAAGTTAAGTTCTTCCCTCCTCATATGCCATATGTCTATTAATCCTAAATCTGTTTTTGTTGTGATTCATTCAAGTTGTGCTGTTTCCACGTTTCTGGCTAATAAGTAAAGGATTTAATATACTGGGCAAAAACATTATGGGTTTAAGGTTCACTTTTTGTTGGTTATAACTTGAGACTCTCATAACTTTTCCCAGTTCATTTTACGTTACTAAGGAGGATTTTTTTTTTTTTTTTTTTTTGAGACAGGTCTTACTCTGTCGCCCAGGCTGGAGTGCAGTGAAGTGATCTCAGCTCACACAATCTCCGCCTCTAGGGTTCAAGAGATTCTCCAGCCTCAGCCTCTGGAATAGCTGGGATTACAGGTGCGCTCTACCACGCCTGGCTAATTTTTGTATTTTTAGTAGAGATGGGGTTTCACCATGTTGGCCAGGTGGGTCTTGAACTCCGGACTTCAGGCAATCCACCCACCTTGGCCTCCCAAACTGCTGGGATTACAGGTGTGAGTCACCACGCCTGGCCTGGGAATTTTATTTTTTTTGAGATGGAGTCTCAACTCTGTCCCCCAGGCTGGAACACAGTGGTGCAATCTTGGCTCATTGCAACCTCCTTCTCCCAGGTTCCAGTGATTCTTCTGCCTCAGCCGCCTGTGTAGCTCAGACTACAGGTGCATGCCACCACACCCAGTTAATTTTTTTTATTTTTAGTAGAGACAGGTTTTACTGTGTTAGCCAGGACTGTATCAATCTCCTGACCTTGTGATCCGCCTGCCTTAACCTCTCAAAGGGAATTTTTAAAATAAAATTTAAAGAAAATTCATTTCACAGTTAATACTTTTAAAACTTAAGATGTTTTATTCAGCCCTTAGATCTTTTTTTTTTTTTTCTATTTCTTTAGTCCTTGTAGGTATTTCAGCTCCATTTAAATGGTATAGCAGCCAGTAGACTTGGATTTTAGCCATAAGACAGGATTTATTATTATCATTGTTTTTATTATTATTTAAGATGGAGTCTCATTCTGTCGCCAGGTCGGAGTGCAGTGGTGCAATCTAGGCTCACTGCAACCTCTGCCTCCCAAGTCCAAGCAATTCTCCCGCCTCAGCCTCTGGAGTAGCTGGGACTACAGGCGCATAACATCATGCCCAGCTACTTTCTGTATTTTTAGTAGAGACAGGATTTCACCATGTTGGCCAGGATGGTCTTGATCTCTTGACCTCATGATCTGTCTGAGCATTAAAAGTCTATGAGGTTACATGAACTATATTTCATATGAGTTTTACAAAGTGGTGTCCAAGCTGAGAATGGCCTCTATGCTGCCCCCACTTCATAAGAGTAATCTGTTATAAACATTCTTTGATTGTAAAGACAAAATGGATCAGGAGTCCTCAGTTTAAAGGTAACAGAAAAGCTAAGAGCCCAAGTTAGAAAATAATTTCTAATAAACAAATTCATAGTCACAGAGAGACTTAGCAGTTTATCTACCCAGTTACTGAACAAGTGACATTTTTATATTCAATGCTCTCTTCTGCACAACTAAAAGATACAAAGGAAAGGATTTAGAATGCACTTCTTTAAAAGGATATGGAATTTAAGCTGGAGAGCCAAAGAATACACAGTAAGAACTGAGCTGCTGTTTTAGAACATACTCAAGAATACCAGTGGCTTTATGTCAGTTAGAAAAGGGCAACTCTGCTTATAGAAAATAAGTAAAGAGTAGGGTTTTTTAACTTGGTCTAATCTGTGCCTGAAGAATATAACACAATATAGATTTTTTAATAAAAAGGTAAACATATTCTAGAAAGCAATTTGGCAATACGTATTAAGATCTTTCAAATGATCCTCAACACAGTACCACAGAAAAAGTATACACAACTACAACAGTGCTAGTGAATTACCATTATGGCAAAAGGAAGAGCTGGTTGAGAACACATGGATTGCTCCCTGTATTTATCTAGATTCTGGCCAGGAGTCTGTCCACAAACTACAGCCAGAAGGCCAAATCCAGCCCACTGCCTGTTTTTGTAGGGCTCATTTTTAACTGGTTAGGGAAAAAAATTAAAAAAGACTATTTCATGGCAGTAAAAATGATATGAAATTCAAACTCCAATATCCATAAAGAAAAATGTATTGGAACACAGCCATACTTGCTTGTTTGCATGTTATCTATGGGAATTTCAGGCTAAAACAGCAGAGGTGAGGAGTGGAGACTGATCATGACCACTGCTTGGTGCACCACAAACTGCCGTGACAGTTATAACCTGAAAATGTTGCAAGGGTCACCAATATTGCCATACCATGACAATAAGAAAAAAAAAAACTAGTAAATACACATCCATCCAAATAAAAAGAAGGCCCTCAATATCACATTTTGAAGGTACAGTGGGATGTAAATAATTCTGCTATCAAATTCCATGGTAAAGTATTGTTTATTATGCAATAACACTACAGCTATGCTAAAAGAAGGCCATGTATGCCAACATTTACAGACTAA